TGGTCCATGTAGCGCAGTGGATGGCGCGTTGGACCTCTAATCCAAAGGTCTCGGATTCGAATCCTGGCAGGGATGATGGTGTTCCTTAGATATAGACCAAGTATTGCTTGATAGTGTTTTTTAGTATTTGATAATGTCAAAGACAATCATCAAGGAAATCTTTGCACAATCGCTCTGGAGGTGCCTTTTCTTCGATTGTATTATCTCTAATTATTCTGAATTTCCATAAATTCTAGGAACTCGTGGTCCCTGTAGAGCAGTGGCTAGCGCGTTGATCTTCTAAACCAAATGTCCCGGGTTCGAATCCCGGCAGGAATGAGGGTCGTTTTAAGATATAGACCATGTATTGGTAGATTTAATATTTTAGCAATTGAGATTCTACATTGATTTTGTCGGAGATAAGCGCATTTGACTTCTAATCCAAAGGTCCCGGGTTCGAATCCCGTCAGGGATGAGGTTGATGCTAAGTGATGGAATTGGTTAAGATAGATCATGTTTTATATTATTTGAGATTGTACATTGATTTTGTCGAAGATAATCAAGGAGGAAATCTCTTAACAAACGCTCTTTAGGTGCCTTTTCTCAGATTGATTTAACTCTAATTATTCTGAGTTTCCATAAATTGTACAAATGCGGACCCATTTTGTTGCTCGGTTGAGGGTGTTCCTAAGATATAGACCATGTATTTGTAGATTGTGTTTTTTAGTATTTCAGATTCTATATTGATTTTTTCGAAGATAATCATGAAGGAAATCTCTTAACAAACGTTCTTGAGGTGACTTTTGTCCGATTGTTGTAACTCTATTTATTCTGAGTTTCCATAAATTAAACGAACTCGTGGTCCCTGTAGAGCAGTGGATAGCACGTTGTACTTCTAATCCAAAGGTACCGGGTTCGAATCCCGGTTGAGATGATGGTGTTCCTAAGATGTAGATAGTGGTTTTAGTATTTGAGATTCTACATTGAGTTTTTCAGAGACAATCATCAAGGAAATCTCTCACCAAACGCTCTAGAGGTGCCTTTTCTCTGATTGTTGTAACTCTAATTATTCTGAGTTTACATAAATTCAACGAACTCGTGGTCCATGTAGAGCAGTGGATAGCGCTTTTTACTTCTAAACCAAAGGAGCCGGGTTGGAATCCCGGCTCTGATGGGGGTGTTCCTAAGATATAGACCATGTATTGGTTGTTGGTTTTTTTTAGTATTTGATATTGTCAGAGACAATCATAAAGGAAATCTTTGCACAATCCCTCTGGAGATGCCTTTTCTTCGATTGTGGTATCGTAGAAAGGCTCGTAGTCCCTGTAGCGCAGTGGATAGCGCGTTGGACTTCTAATCCAAAGGTCCCGGGTTCGAATCCCGGCAGGGATGAGGGCGTTCCTAAGATATAGACCATGTATTGGTAGATTGTGTTTTTTAGTATTTGAAATTCTACATTGAGTTTGTCAGAGACAATCATCAAGGAAATCTCTTCAAAAACGATCTGTAGGTGCCTTTTCTCCGATTGTTGTATCCCTATTTATTCTGAGTTTCCATAAATTCTACGAACTCGCGGTCCCTGTAGAGAAGTGGATTGCGTGTTGGACATTTAATCCAAAGGGCTCGGGATCAAATCCCGGCAGGGATGAGGGTTTTTCTTAGATATAGACCATGTATTGGTAGATTGTGTTTTTTACTATTTCAAATTCTACATTGAGTTTCTCAGAGACAATCATCAAGGAAATCTCTTCAAAAACGCTCTGTAGGTGCCTTTTCTCCGATTGTTGTAACTCTATTTATTCTGAGTTTCCGTAAATTCTACGAAATCGTAGTCCCTGTAGCGCAGTGGATAGCGCGTTGGACTTCTAATCCAAAGAGATCGGGTTCTAATCCCGGCAGGGATAAGGTTTTTTCTTAGATATAGACCATGTATTGGTTGATAGTGGTTTATAGTATTTGAGATTGTCAGAGACAATCATCAACGAAATCTTTGCACAATCGCTCTGTAGGTGCCTTTTCTTCGATTGTTGTAACTCTATTTATTCTGAATTTCCGTAAATTCTAGGAGCTCGTAGTGCCTGTAGCGCAGTGGATAGCGCGTTGGACCTCTAACCCAAAGGTCCCGGGTACGAATTACGGCAGGGATGAGAGTGTTCCTAAGATATAGACCACGTATTGGTAAATTGTGTTTTTTTAATAGTCAAGATTCTACATTGAGTTTGTCAGGGACAATCATCAAGGAAATCTCTGCACAAACGCTCTGGAGGTGCCTTTTCTTCGATTGTTGTAACTCTAGTTATACTGAGTTTCCATAAATTCTACGAACTCGTAGTCCCTGTAGCGCAGTGGATAGCGCGTTGGACTTCTAATCCAAAGATCTCGGATTCGAATCCTGGCAGGGATGATGTTGTTCCTTAGATATAGACCATGTATTGGTTGATAGTGTTTTTTAGTATATGATATTGTCAAAGACAATCATCAAGGAAATCTTTGCACAATCGCTCTGGAGGTGCCTTTTCTTCGATTGTATTATCTCTAATTATTCTGAATTTCCATAAATTCTAGGAACTCGTTGTCCCTGTAGCGCAGTGGATAGCGCGTTGGACTCCTAATCCAAAGGTCCCGGGTTGGAATCCCGGCAGGGATGAGGGTGTTCCTAAGAGAAAGACCATGTATTGGTAGATTGTGTTTTTAGTATTTGAGATTCTACATTGAGTTTGTGAAAAACAAACATCAAGGAAATCTCTTCACAAACGCTCAAGAGGTGCCTCTTCTCCGATTGTTGAAACTCTACTTACTCTGAGTTTTCCATAAATTCTACGAAATCGTAATCCCTGTAGCGCAGTGGATAGCGTGTTGGACTTTTAATCCACAGGTCCCGGGTTCGAATCACGTCAGGGTTGAGATTGTTGCTGAGTGATGGAATAAGTTAAGATAGATTATGTTTTTCAATATTTGACATTCTACGTTGAGTTTGTCAAAAACAATCATCAAGGAAATCTCTTCACAAACGCTCAAGAGGTGCCTGTTCTCCGATTGTTGAAACTCTACTTACTCTGAGTTTTCCATAAATTTAACGAACTCGTAGTCCCTGTAGCGCAGTGGATAGCGCGTTGGACTTCTTATCCAAAAGTCCCGGGTTCGAATCAAGGCAGGGATGAGGGTTTTCCTAAGATATAGACCATGTATTGGTAGATTGTGTTTTTTATTATTTCAAATTCTACATTGAGTTTGTCTGAGACAATCATCAAGGAAATCACTTCACACACGCTCTGTAGGTGCCTTTTCTCCGTTTGTTGTAACTCTATTTATTCTGAGTTTCCATAAATTCTACGAAAGCGCGGTCCCTGTAGAGCAGTGGATAGGGTGTAGGACATTTAATCCAAAGGTCCCGGGTTGGAATCCCGGTACGGATGAGGGTGCTCATATGATGTAGACCATGTATTGGTAGCTTGTGTTTTTAGTATTTATGATTCTACATTGAGTTTGTCAGAGACAATCATCAAGGAAATCTCTTCACAAACGCTCTGAAGGTGCCTCTTCTCCGATTGTTGTAACTCTATTTATTCTGAGTTTCCATAAATTCTACGAACTCGTAGTCCCTGTAGCGCAGTGGATAGCGCGTTGGACTTCTAATCCAAAGGTTCCGGCTTCGAATCCCGGCAGGGATGAGGGTGTTCCTATGATATAGACCATGTATTGGTATTTTCTGTTTTTTTTAGTATTTAAGATTCTACATTGAATTTGTCAGGGACAATCATCAAGGAAATCTCTTCACAAACGCTCAGGAGGTGCCTCTTCTCCGATTGTTGTAACTCTATTTATTCTGAGTTTCCATAAATTCTACTAACTCGTAGTCCCTGTAGCGCAGTGGATAGCGCGTTGGACTTCTAATCCAAAGGTCCCGGGTTCGAATCCCGGCAGGGATGAGAGTGTTCCTAAGATATAGACCACGTATTGGTAAATTGTGTTTTTTTAATATTTAAGATTCTACATTGAGTTTGTCAGGGACAATCATCAAGGAAATCTCTGCACAAACGCTCTGGAGGTGCCTTTTCTTCGATTGTTGTAACTCTAGTTATACTGAGTTTCCATATGATGCTTCGTTCAGTTACGTATTGCTAACTTTATTTATTCTGAGTTTCCATAAATTCTACGAACTCTGGTCCTGTAGCGCAGTGATGGCGCGTTGGACTTCTAATCAAAGGTTCCGGCTTCGAATCCCGGCTGTGATGAGTTGTTCTAAGATAAAGACCATGTATGGTATGTGTTTTTTTAGTATTTGAGATTCTGCATTGATTTTGTCAGGATAATCATGGAAAATCTCTTCACAAACGCTCTGAGGTGCTTTCCTCCGATGTTGTAACTCTATTTATTCTGAGTTTCCATAAATTCAACAAACTCGTGGTCCAGCCAGCTGATGGAAGCGCGTTGGACTTCTAATCAAGGTCCCGGTTCAGTCCGGCAGGGATGAGGTGTTCCTAAGATATGACCAGTATTGGTAAATTGTGTTTTTTATATTTAAATTCTACATTGTTTGCAGAGACAATCATCAAGGAAATCTCTTCAAAAACGCTCTGAGGTGCCTTTTCTCCGTATTTGTAACTCTATTTATTCTGAGTTTCCATAAATTCTACGAATCTGTTCCCTGTAGCGCAGTGGATGGCGCGTTGGACTTCTAATCAAAGGTCCGCTTCGAATCCGGCGGATGGAGGTTGTTCCTAAGATAAGACATGTATTGGTAATTGTTTTTTTAGTATTTGAGATTCTGCATTGATTTTGTCAGACAATCATCAAGAAATCTCTTCAAACAACTCTGGGTGCTTTCTCCGATGTTGTAACTCTATTTATTCTGAGTTTCCATAAATTCAACAAACTCGTAGTCCTGTACCGCAGTGGACAGCGCGTTGGACTTCTAATAAAGTCCGGATCGAATCCGGCAGGGATGAGGGCGTTCCTAAGATATAGACCATGTTTGGTGATTGTGTTTTTTAGTATTTGAAATTCCATGAGTTTGTCAGAGCAATCATCAAAATCTCTTCAAAAAACTTGTAGGTGCCTTTTCTCCGTTATTGTAACTTATTTATTCTGAGTTTCCATAAATTCTACGAAATCGTAGTCCCTGTAGCGCAGTGGATAGCGCGTTGGACTTCTAATCCAAGGTCCGGTTCGAATCCGGAGGGATGAGGGCGTTCCTAGATATAGACCATGTATTGGTAGATTGTGTTTTTTGTATTTGAAATTCTACATTGAGTTTGTCAGAGACAATCATCAAGGAAATCTCTTCACAAACGCTCTGGAGGTGACTTTCCTCCGATTGTTGTAACTCTATTTATTCTGAGTTTCCATAAATTCAACAAACTCGTAGTCCTGTACCGCAGTGGACAGCGCGTTGGACTTCTAATATAAGTCCCGGATCGAATCCGGCAGGGATGAGGGGTTCCTAAGATATAGACCAGTAGTGGTAATTGTGTTTTTTAGTATTTGAGATTCTACATTGAGTTTGTCAGAGACAATCATCAAGGAAATCTCTTCAAAAATGCTCTGTTGGTGCCTTTCTCCGATTGTTGTAACTCTATTTATTCTGAGTTTCCATAAATTCTACGAAATCGTAGTCCCTGTAGCGCAGTGGATAGCGCGTTGGACTTCTAATCCGTCCGAGGTTCGAATCCGGCAGGGATGAGGGCGTTCGAATATAGACCATGTATTGGTATTGTGTTTTTTATATTTGAGATTCTAT